ATATTCCTGCCCAAGACACATAACCTGAACCTAAACCAGAAAAAGATTAGATAAGGCAAAACTTAGGGACAAATAGCCTACACTTTAAAAAATGTCAAGCTCATGAGAGACAGGGACTGAAGAACTTTCCACATTAACGGAGACTGAAAAGATGTGACAAGTAACTGCTATATATGATTCTGGATTAGATCCAGATCAGGAAAACAAAGATTTGTCCTTGTGTTTAGGAAGTCAGTCTTAAGCAAAATTACATCATAGTTGCCACTTACACAGTAGGGAAACAACTGTGTGTATAGTAAGGAGAGGAGAGGGAGGATGATAATTAAATATGGCAGGGTGTTAGCTGGGCGTCAGTGGCTCACGCTTGTAATCCTAGCTACTCAGAAGGCAGAGATCGGGAGGATCGAGGTTCAAAGCCAGCCCAGGCAAATAGTTCTCAAAGACTCTATCTCAAAAAAACCCTTCACAAAAAAGGGCTGGTGGAATGGCTGAAAGTATAGGCCCTGAGTTCAAAACCCAGCTAACAAGAAATCTGGACAATGGATGTACAAGATTTGTCTGCAGCTTTTCTGTAAGACTGAAATCATTTCCAAATAAGATTTTTAACAAAAAAACTTTTAAGTGATCAGAAAGCCGGGATCACTGGTTGAGTGCGGTGTGCCAGGTTGTCTACTGTTGACTGTGCTCTGCTGTGTCACCATTGATAAGAAAGTACTACTTCAGCTCTTTCCATCTCTCTTTAAAAAACATCTGCATTGAATTTTATAAGTTACACATATTTGTAAAAATTTCGAGCAGTACCAAATTGCACAGGAGTCTATGTCTGTGCTCCCTCACCCCAACTTACCATTGTAGTGTTATGTGGTCATGAGTGTGTGCACACTCATCTCCTCCCTATATCCTTGTACTACTAAACATTGATCAGTATCCTCTTTTAAAAATGTAATATAGCCATTTTTTGCAGTAACTGTATAGTACTCTGCTTCATTCTTTATCATATGTTCTCTAAATGATTCCACTGCCCCTAAAACTCACTGTCAAGGCGTGGTGCCTCAGGCCTGTAACCCCAGCTATTTGGGAGGTGGAAATTGAGAGGATCGAGATTCCAGACTAGCCTAGGCAAAAAGTTAACAGAAGGCATAGATAGAATGATCGTGTTCTGAGGCTGGCTCCAGGAAAAAATGTGAGGCTCTTATTCCAGAAAAAAAAAAGGAAGGAATTAAAACTTTGAAGAAAAAAAAAAAAAGATAGATTCACTTTAATGGCAGAACCATTTATAAGCACCCCTGGGGATAGCTCTTGGGTTACTGAAGTGAAGCACTCAGTGAACTCAGCACAAAGTGAACTCTGGCCACCTTCATTTTCTGTGTCTGTACTCAAGGATGAAATCTACAGAAGAGCAAACATGCTTACCACTGGGTGGGATCCAGCCTCTAAAATACTCAGCTATGGTCAGAGAAGCAAGGATACAGGACAGAGACATTGGCCCCCAGCTCCCTTCCAAAGGAAGAAGAACCAGCAGGGCAGCCATCTCACCCAGCTTCTCCTCCCAGGATCTCTCTGAGTGCTTTGTGTCTGGTCTGTTGCAGCTTCTCCATTGAACCCTACCACCACTAGAGTTACCCTCAGCCACCATGATTCTCAGACATGGTCCTTGTGCAGACAATATCAGCATTACTTGAACCTTTTAGAAATGTGTACCTCTGAGGTCCCCTGCCACACCTACTGAGTCAGAAACTGCAGCGGGCCCAGGGCTCTTGTTTAGCAAGTCCGCTAGTTGATTCATTGGGATGTGTACCAACATTTAAGGATTTCAGCTCTGCACACACTCCAAAGTCCTCATAAATTGCCCTTTGTGATCTCACCCCCACCCACTAAGCAAGCCTTCCCCCCTGTATCCTGTCACATAGAAATTTGCTGAGCCCTTTCCTGGACTGACTGTTCACCACCTGGTGAACTTCTGCTCTTCATCGCTTCCTCTAGCTTCCCGCCCTCCCAGGCACTCTCTGTCTTACTGAAACCTCCCTGCTGTACTCAGAAGTGAACCAGACCAAGGACATGGTGTTACAGCAGTGTCTTGTCATGTTGCATAGATTACCCAGGTTGGGAGTTCAGCCTCTGTAGATCATATTGAACCTGGATTCCCTGTAGCCAGTAGGATTGGGTAATTTATAAATAACCATTGATCGTTTAATTGCTGTACGGATTTCTAGAGTCTGTCCTTTCTCTTGCATGTAAATAGGACACCATTTACATCTGGAAGGGAAATTTCTCAGTACTTATCAGTAGACTTTGGGTAAATCAGATGCTAGAGAGCAAAAGTTGACTTGGAGAGGTACAAATTTCCCCTTCACTTGGCAGTGACCTTCTCCTGACAGCATTTAATGAGAGTTACTATAGCCAGAGAAGAATCTTATTAGGCTTTAATTAAAAGCACAAGGTGTTTTTCCCCCATGTCTGCTCCTTCCTCTGTCTTCTTTCTTTTTTTCCATCTTTCTCCTGTCTTTCTTTTCTCCCTCTTCACTTGCATGTTCTCCCTCCCCTTGCCCCTTTCAGTCTCCTCTCCATTCTTCAACATTTAAAATGTTTGGGGCTTGGCTAATCCCTATGGATAGAAACTTAGCTGAGCAGGATATTGATTACCAAATATGGTGTTGCTGCTAAAGATGTTGGAGGAATGTGGCTTGTATTCTAAGCCTCTGGCCTCTGAATAAGCTGCCAAACAAATTAGGTCATTTTAACTTCTGAGCCTCTTTTTTTTTTTTTTTTTTAATAAGGATGCTGGAACTTCGATTTGGAACATGATGTTATTTTAGCTCACACAAGAGCAGGGTATGAAGAAGGGGACAGGGAGCACAGTGCAGCGTGTTTTAGGATGTGAGCCACCAACCTAGGTTGTGTAAGAGGCAAGCATAGAGGTGTGGAGCCTCAGTGGATTCTGGAACACTAGTGAATAAGAAAGGTGTAGATTTTAGATTTTTAGCAACATTGGCTAAAGCAAAGAACTTAATAGAGCGCACACAGGTCCTAGGACACCCTTGTCATTTTGCCCCCAGTGGCCTGTGCCATGGTCCTTATGTGATGTCAGCTCAGGTTTAGCAAAGGTTTATTGCTGGAGCTGACACCCTGAAATTGATGGCAAGTTGCTACTGTGTGTGCCTGAAGTGGTATGGGTATGAATGTACTGAGTGCTGCTGCAGTGTACCTTTAGGTGACAACCAGTGCCCATACTTGTCTCCCAGCAAAGACCACAGTTCTTCAGGTCCATATTAGGAAATATTTATTCTGTTGGCAGAGTAGTTTGATAGGCTAAAATGTTACTGTTGTAAGCTGTTAGAAGCAAACGCTACTTCAAAGTGCAGCTTTCTTTCTTTATATATGTTTTTTGGCAAGACAATACTGAGGTTTCCCTCAGGACCATTTAAAGAAAAAACTTCCTTTTATGTTTCGAAAACCTGTTAACCCCTCTTACTTTTGTTGGTTAGGTCTATACAAGTGGATTCCTTGTTTGCCACCCTTAATTGGTTTCCTCTTTGAGTACATCAGGCTCACAAAGAAATTCTACCTGCTTGGGATATCTCTGGATCAGAGCTATGTAGCTGGTGTTGGTCCTTCCCGAGGACCTCTGCTTCCTCCCACCCCCCACTCCTGTTTCCTTTTGTAGACATCACCTTCGGTCCTAGGCTCTTCCTTGCATTTCTGGAACTGAGCCTGTGAAGGTCAGAGTCATTCATCCTGGTCTCCCAAGTAAGAGTCTTTTTCTTGTGGACATTGCTCATATTTTTCTTCAAATTAAGAAGAAAGGGAGTGGGGATCATCAGGGCCACCTGTGTACATTCCCAACACTCAACTGCAAAGTGTGTCCCTAGGTTACTCATTTTCAAGACTTAGACGAACATGAGACCTGAGTCTATTTTGGGTTTGCATGTGCACATTGTATTTGGATATCTTTTACCATTACTGCGAGGATCCAGAATTCAGGGCACTCAGCACAGTTTTCTTTAGGTTTTTAATTACGCTTAGTAATGAAGACATGGGAGGGCTCTAAAATGGATTTGTCTTAAATCTTGTTGTGATTTGCTGTATTGAGTATGGTTTTTTTGGGGGGAGTTACAATTGCAATGATAAGGGACAAGGATAATTTAAATTACTGTCATGTCTTTGGCTTGTATAATCCTTTGGCTTTTCATGTAGATTTTATAAGCTATGCTTTGTACTGGGGGGCTCATGCCTGTAATCCTAGCTACTCAGGAGGCAGCGATCAGGATTGCAGTTTGAAACCAGCCCCAGGCAAATAGTTCTCAAGAACCTATCTCGAAAAAACCCATCTTAAAAAAGGGCTGGTGGAGTGGCTCAAGGTGTAGGCCCTGAGTTCAAACCCCAGTACCACATAATAAAAAAGAAAAAAAATTATAAGCTAACTGGAATCAAATGATACTAGTTATGTTAAAATTCTTGCCACCTATTAATTCCTGTCTGCTGAGTAATACAGAGTACTTGTTTACCTTTGTAAAGCTCTGTGTTAGGAAGAGACTGGGATTCTTTCTCTCCATTTATAGGTAATGAAACTAAAAGCATTGAAGAATTACATTGTTTATAACACTGATCAGAACTCAGGCCTCTTCGGATTTCAAGTGTCAAACTCCAGGGTTGCACAGTATTTCATTCTCATTAGTAACCATCGTCAAAGTTTTTAACTGTGCTAGGGATTTGCTTGACTAAATTTTAAAAACTCAAGCTTGGATAGCTTTTGCTCAGGAAGAAAAGGGATAGTTGAAAATTCATGTAACTAAATTTTTTAGTAGAGTAAGCTCAATTCTCCTGACTTTCTGGACACATAGAGTTGTGGGATTTTGTATATTCTATGTAAATAGAATGAGAGCTCTTGCTAACCTTTTTTTCCTGATAGGGCAGGGTTTACTGGTGTGTTTATTTTGTCACCATTCCGGTTTGACTCTAAGGAAATGAAAACATCTTCCATTTGTTCTTTATTTCCAAAGGGCATCCGCTTCGATCCTGAAATTCCGCAAACACTACGACTAGAGTTTGCTAAGGCAAACACGAAGATGGCCAAGAACAAGCTAGTAGGGACTCCAAACCCCAGTACTCCTCTGCCCAACACTGTACCTCAGTTCATTGCCAGAGAGCCATGTAAGTTGATCTATTTTCATTTTCAAAAAAAAGTACCAGAATTGTTCATGTGCTACACGTGAGCGTCACCATGGCCTGTAGAGCTGGCTTCTTGTATTCCATTTTGCTGACGAGATTGCTTGTTCAGCAGTCTTGTTGGTGATTGGCCATCCCGAAGTATGGTGGAACCAGAACTTCAAATTTTCATTTGTTGTGCTATCGATTTCCCTAATGTGACATTGACCATTTGCTTTGGGGTGTAAACCCTCTATCCCCGTTCCACCCCATCCTTGGGCACTTGGACCTCAACATTCACTTTGCTCTGTGGTTTTGGAAAAAGAGTGTATTAAAAGTAAAAAAATCGTATCTTAGGAAGTAAGTAGTCCTATTTTTGAGAGCAGGTTAGCTATACAAGTCTACAGGGAATAGTTGACACACACAGAATTTATAGATTGGAACAATCAGTTCCAGCAAACTAGTACCAGTAAAGTTTTAGGAAATCTGGGGCTTCCTGTTTTAAATTATTTGAGTCAGGCCACTCGCTAATTGCTAAACAAGTTTTTTACCGGACATTAATGAGCTTATTCTATTAAATGTCCAGACTGCCTTAGGTTGGATAACTTTAAAAGACTGTCTTACTTAATTTCTTTCTCAAGCTCAATCAGTGGCAGAAGTGAGGCATGAGAGAGAATTTAATTTTTCCTTTTATTGCAGAGCCATGTGTGATTTAATATGGCAGGCACTCACGAAGGCCCAGGTTACTTGGAATGTTTCTGTCCCACCGTTCTTGATCTCTTTCCAAACCACATGATCATGGTCTTCTTCCTGCTTTCCTAACAATATGTTTCAGCTCTTCTTAGTGAACTTGAAGGGCATGTGGGCTCCTTGCTCTACCCCAGGTCATGTGCATGTCAGATTTAATCAGTGATCTTGGAAGTTAATCACTCTACAATCTCAGTCACTCTTGAGAAACTGGTGCTGCACCATGGAAACTAGCAGATAAGAGTTTCTCCCCCAGCATGTTCTGAAACAAAGTTTTCTATGAAGCCAAAAAGTCATAACAGAAAAAAAATTATTTTATTTTTTCATGTCCTAGGGAAACTTGAAACCTTTGTTTATTTTGGGAAGGAAATCGAAACAAAAGTTCATCTTCTATAGTACAGTTGCATTTTATGAGGATATAGGAAAATTCCTGACATAATTCTTAATCTTAAACCATCTAGCTTAGTGCTCTGTATTGTATGTATTTAATAAAGATGTATTAAAGTGGATAAATGGAAATTAGAATTTGTTTATAAAATCAGGGAGACATCCTTACACCTCTTTATTTCCATCTGAAATTTTTTCTCCTCTTGATAAGGGCATCAGAAAAGACCTCGGAATGCTTTTGCTTTTCAGCGAAATTTGTCTTTCACTTGAAAAGATGAAATCAGACAGGAAGTAAAAGGCTGATGATAACTTCAGCCTTTCTACTCTTGTTGAATGGTCTCTATTTTGAAACTCAAATCTTTTTTTCAACCTGTTGTGAAATAGATTGCCAGGAAGGTGACAACCAGTTCACAACAGGATACATAGCAGCTCCAAAAATGAACACCCTGGCTAGCCATCCTCAAGCTGCTGGAGTTACAGGTGTGGAATGCAGAGCTTAGCATTCTGACTGACTCTGCTCACTTCCCTTCTCTGTACAGAACAGCTCAAAAGTGGTCAGATAGTTTCCATGACAGGGTCAAAATTTGTTGCTCACAACAAAACAGACTTGAATTTTAAAGAAAAAAAAATCAGACTGCCAGTGGTGTATTCTTGACAATATGAAAGTTACCAACGTCTCTCCTAATACAGCTCATTTTTACAAGAGAGAGGCCCTGGTGAGCAGCAACTCCACTGACTCAGGTCGACCTTATCACCCATTGCCCTTCCCTGTGGCGATTTGGAGTTTTCCTGTCACATTCACAGAATCGTTGCTTTCCTGGCAGCACTTGGCTGCTAAGAGTGCCGTAGTGGGTGTAGATAGCAGATACAGTTACCCTGTACAGTAGTCAGTGCTGGAAGCAGTTGGTTTAACCACCTAGGTGTAGACTGTGTGGGAATCAGAATTTGGCAATTGGAAAAGCCCCAAAGTTCTCTCTCTTTTAGACTATGAGAAAGGTTTTTCTTGGTGCTTCTTTTTATCAGTGTTTTTACATGGGTTGTGCCTGAAACTCAGTGCCATCTCTAACAACAAACAGTTTCTTGAACTCTCAATTCTCAGTAAATACCTGTTGAACTGAAATGGGCACCCAGTGTGTTAGACCCCAGAGAAGAAGGAAGCTATGGTTATTGCTTAACGGAGCTGTCAGTCCAAGGAGTTGTTAATGGTCACCATTGTCAGAAAATCTGTCTCCATATAAAGGATATAAAAAAGATTCTGTAGCACAGTCCAGATTGCCCCCACATCGGACTGCAGGTAGTGCTGAATGTTCCTGCTTGTCCATGCTGAGCATGCAGAAGGAAGAAACCAGGTTTTACAGCTTGGCAAGATAATTAGGGGCCTTGGCTTCAGACCTGAATGTATGGGTAAGAGTTCTGGTTCTGGTGGTTATTGGCAAGCTTTGTGACCGTAAGGAAAAACATTTAATCTTGCTGTGTGCTCTTGTTCCCTCAGCTCTAAAATGGGAATTTTATGTTTTACTCACATGATTTTGATGAGAGCTAAATAAAACAGTGTGGTGGGGTTGCATTCAGGACTAAGTAGGTGTGGTATATATGGAGTTCTAGGTAAATATCAAATGCTACCCAAAAAGCACCGATTTGCCTCTCTTTCCTAATACTTAGAGCTGGTGTCATCATTGTGTGACCATAGCCAATTGACACTGCAAGTTTAGAAAAAGCATGGATGAGACTCACATACCTTCCCAGGGAAGTAGTATATTTAGTACCTTACTTAATAAGTAGTATATTTAGAAAACTAAATTTTTACTAATGGGATCATTAGTTTGAACTTCTCTTACTCCCTTATGTAATAAAATTGCAAGAAAATTATGAAAGCAAGCAGTAAGAGATGGAGACAGGGAGTTCAGCTCAGTGGAAGAGCATGTGTTTAGGATGTATGAGATTCTGGGTTTGACACTCAGCACCAGAGACAAAACAAAAAAATGAAGGTAGGAAAATTATAAGTGTCACATTCTCCTAGATTATGGATAGATTGTACAGGAAGGTAGTATCCTATAGTGGAAGAACTCTGCTTGAGAGATGAAAAAGGGGCAACTCATCATCTCTGATTTGTTTTTGTATAAAATGATACTGTGCGTGAGACATTGCTCCGCATTTTACATTTTACTGTTTTCAGTAGCACTGTTTTGTAGTTGGAAGAATCTAAGGCCCAATCCCAGTCTAGTAAATAATTTGGTTTGCACAGTCAACAAATATTATACACTAAATTTTGTTCCCCAAAATTCATCAGTTGAAATTTCATCCCTGAATACTTCAAAATGCAACCATGTTTGGAAATTTTTAAAAGGTTTTCATGTTGAGATGAGGCTCTTAGGATGGGCACCCAGTTCTGCTGTCCTTATAAGAAAAGTGAACCCAACCCGTATGTGTGCTCACAGCTCAAAGGCCATATGCAGACACAGCTTTGCTTAGAGCCGTGAGAAAATCAATTTCTGCTTTAAGCCACGCAGTCTGTGGTGGTCTGTTCTGGCACACAGCCCTAGCAATCTTAACAGACCAAGTGAAACAGACTGGACTTCAATTCTGACCCGTTACCTACAGGTTTAGTAACTTTGGTCAAGTTATCTTACCTCTCTGTCTCTGTTTTCTCAGTTTTAAAAAAGATGGCATTACTAATTGTACCTACCCATAGATTGGATCAGTGGCCACATGTAAAAATGAGAAAAAGAGCTGGAAGTGAGGCCCAAGCAGTAGAGCACCTGCCTAGCAAGCACGAAGCCCTGTAATCAACCCGAGTACTGTGGGAAAAAAAAAAGTTAGAGAGGAGCCACATCTGCAGCACTCAGTAACCATGTTTATGCTCTTTTATTATTCCCAGGGAGTGTGAAGGAGGTGCACTTCAAATTTTTCTTAAATTTCAATTCTTACTAGGTTATGGTTAATGAACATATTTAATTCAGTTTTGTTGGGGGAGGAGGGATGAGAAATACTGAGGTTTGAACTCAGGGCCTCTTGCTTGCCAAGCAGGTGCTGTACTCATGAGCTGCTCCAAAAGCAGTTTTTTTGTGTGTGTTGGGTATGTTTGAGATAGGGTCTTGCTTTTTGCTCAGGCTGGCCTCAAACCATAATCCTCTGATCTCTGACTCCTCAGTAGCTAGGATTATAGGCATGAGCCGCCAGTGCCCAACCTCAATTCAGCTTTTATAGAGCAAATATCAAGATGCCAGAACTGGGCCGTAATCTTGAATTGTTGAGGATCCTGTAGTCCCACCTCAGGGTCCCTGATTTTCTAAGGTCTCTTAGCTCTGTATTTCTGATGCCCAGTTAAGTTTGAGAATCACCAGTTTGCCCCAAATTGGAAGTTAAGTTCTCCTCCTTGCTCACTCTACATCTCCCCTGTTTCCTTCCAGCCAAATGCATGCTCTGTTGAGTTCTCTCAAATCCCTGGTGAGCACATAACCCTTTGGTGAATAATCAGACCACTTCCTTGTTTGCGTGCCACTCCCCGGGAATTTCCCACGTATCCAATACTGACCTGGCTTCTTAAACTGAATTCCTTGTCTTATGTCTGAAGTGATCTGTATAATTCAGGTCTAGTGAGTGCCTTGCTGAGTGGGGCAACACTCAGCAAATATGAAATTTGAACCCTCACCCTATAGGACAAGGGTCATCCAGTGCCCTGTCAGAAGCCACCTGTACCCAGGGAACAGAGACAGCTACCTGAATTTTCCAGGGCAATAATGAACAGCATGTACAATCAGAAAAACTGCAGGTGCCTGTCTCCTGCCTGCTCTGAAAATGTGCAAGAATGGTACTGGAGTACATGTACATGGAGTACATGGGGTACTGCTGTGTACCCCATGCCTGCTCTC